CAAATGATTTTACTTTATGTATTTAAAGTGAAAATTGAATTTCTATTTTGTATGTATTGGAGACTTAAAGATTTGTTTTGAGATGAAGATAATATTGATTTTAATGGTAATATTTAGAATAAACACACTTTGCCGACATAATTACCCCCCCCCTCGAGAAAAAAAACTGTGATCAGGTGAATTCATTCTAAAACATTCACAAAACAAAGGACTTTTTCTATTGCATAAAGGTACGATCAGGCGTTTATATTACGTTAGATTTTTTCGTTGACGCCATATTATCCTTTGTTTTAAACAAAGAAGCGTGAACATTTGATCGTCTTCTATGTACACATTCAATAGTATTACTTCTTCAAAGGAATATAAAATAAAACAATATTTACGAATAATGAAGTTTTTGTAAATACTGTCGTCAAAGAATCAGTTAATAAACAGTTGAATACAATGAAGGATTGTGATATGTAGACGCTATCAATTTTATGAGGAAGAATTGCTATCTCCATCTTTTTATGCAGACAAAATAAGATTCTCTACCTGTTTAGATTTTAAATGTCGGTAATGCACTACTTTAGCGCAACCTTACTACAGAACATTCATAAGTTAATTACAGCAAATAGTACAAATCATCTTCAAGTTAACACAGTTACTAAGATATCATACCTCTGAATCATAATCCACTGTTTCTGAGTGACAGATGTTTGAGAAAAATAGTGTTTTATATTTACCAATCGGAAACCTCAACTTCTTGGATATGTCATTTTGGAAGTCAAAATACAATAGGTGATGATCCCTGATGTTTGGAAATAGCTATGGTTTAAAAAATGTCATTCATTTTAAGTCACTATTGTGATTTGACGCTAATGTTACATTTTAGACAAATTAATAAACTATTTACTTTGAGCTGTTCTCTAAAATAGAATGAATATGTTTTTCATGTTGATTTTCTTCAAATTTCACTTTGAATTATGACATTGGATATTTATCTGATGGGATAAATTGTTTATTCCATTATTGAATGTATCGTTTGCTTTTAACTAAACTCAACCTATAATTAAATTTCAGTTTTTATTGGTCTAGGACGTTTGACTATGTTTTAGTGTTATTGAAGGAACCGTTACTAGAAAGGGGAAAGAATACACTAAAGTTTATTTATTCGTGACAAGTTGTAAGGAAAATAGTTCACTGTTAAGTAGTCGGTATTGGTCGACAGAAAATCCTAATTGGTCCTGTTTTTGTGCTAGTTGGCACTCATCACAGGAAGATTTACCTATAATCTTGAGGGAACTGATATTTCTTGGTGAATTCAGTCTGTGATGTCTAATATTGACGGAATTTGATTAGCGTTCAGAGCTAGATAAACACAATATTCCTCATTACTCATTCTAGTTTAATGTAGATGAAAAGCAGCCATATTTTTGACAAAATCGTTAAGATAATATTTTAGTCGAAATGGATTCTTATTTAAGCTAAACAGACATACAATATACACAATTCAGATAAAAAAGCAGCCGAAAAGTTTTTATTCTCTGTGTAAACATACGAAATGATGGCAAAAAAATATTCTAGCCATTAAATTTTTAAGAGAAATTTTCCTTTGACAGTTTTAAATAAAGTTTTTGAATGATGAAGATTTGTAGCTCAGGTGGATCATTTTGATAGAGTTTTGCTCTCTGAGTTGGTTGGTTTGATCGTGGAGCTTTCATCGCTGAGACTCAAAGCCTCATTGTCTATCATATAAGTGACCACATGAAGAGAGAGAGACTCAGTCATAATCTTTACGTTGTATGATTTAATTAGAGTAAACTGCCCAGCAGTTAATGTGGTAAAAAAAGACAATTACAATCGATGAAGAAGTATTATAATTTTTAAATTTCATAGTCTAAATCACAGGCTGATCTTAGTTAAATAACCACTGAAAGCCAGGAACAAATGGATACCTGGTTAGTCCTGGTAATTAGCTCTTTATCAGTGTATTATATCCATAACCTCATTAAGGATCGAACTCCACACCTTCAGGTTTGTCGGTGAACACTTAACTCTTAGATCATTGAGCCGAATTCAAATGGTTGAAATATCTAGTTGTATTTGTCAACTTGTTTGTTATCAATCGTAACAAACAAGAAACTATTATAAGCAAAGACGGATGGTGGCTAGCAATGGAATCCAAGACGTGCGTTTCATTCTATTTGGGACTCATCAGCCGGATGTACCTTCATTCCATAGTTGATGTTCACTCCGGAACATATATGAAAATAAGAGAATGATCAATTACATTAATTGGAAAATTCAAACAAATAATACAAAATGAATTAAAAAACTGACTATTATAACATATCTGTATCCATTTTCCAATAAAGCCGTTTCATAGTAATAGTTTATGTTGAAATATACATGAAGATAAATTGAGTAGAATTTCAATCTTTTGATTATTTGGGTATCCAGTTGAAAAAACGTTTCTCTCTCTCTCTTACATGCACACACACACATAGACTCAATCTATCTATACAAAAGATTCAAATATATCACCATATAACAACATGATCAACTGTAAAAGGAATAACTCTGATTGTCTATTGACTGCTTTGATTCATTTCTTTATTCTGGATTAGTTTTTTTCTCTCTAAATTTATTTAAATATTTAGATCATTGATAAAGTTAGAAAAACACAACAACCTCATTATCATCATTGTGTGTGCACAGTTGTAAAAATCAGTATTTCCTGTTATTGGAACGATTGAAGGAAGTGGAAAAAAAGGATATTTCCATCACTTGTTGTTCTTCAATAAAGAATTATCATTATCATTATTATTATTATTTAGAGAATAATAGTCCAACTTCTACAGAGTCTATTCATTAAATCATGGAAGTAGGAGAACTATGTAAACTTGGAGATCAACAGACAATGAGAATAATGTAAATAAGGAAAAATCAAAAATTTCAGACAGTTTTATTTTATAAATAAGCAGTTTGAGATAAATGATAGTACTACCATTATTTATAACAAAGAAAGTTTTTATTTTCATAATTCGCATCACGGACTTATCATAGTTAGGTAACCATTCGTAAGACAACCATTATATACTTACTAGTGAATAGCTTCGAGAGGAAATTTCTGGAGTTCTAGTGAGAAGTTGTGGTCGGTGGAGCTAAACTGTGTCGAGTGGGAGGAAGGTATCCCCCGAACACTATGAAATATGGTAGGAATATATCGTGCGTTGATTGAAGTTAGACTTGCAAATGATTAAATCGGTCTCAACGGTCTAGATATTATACGTTTGTCGCAGGAAAGAGGTTCCTAGGTTTGATCCGCTGTGACAGATCGTGGATGTGCACCCCTGTGGAGTCCCATACTGAGACAAGATAGCTGTCGTGTGCTTGCAGATTTTGAATGGTTATCTAACTTTGGTCGATTCAAGATCTTTTAGTAACCCGTTGATCTGACTCGAGTTTGAAAGAACGAATGAATATGTCATGATTACAAATTATCCTTTGTACTCTGTTTGAGTGATGGGAATATTAAGAAGTTCAATATGAGTTGTGTTGGATTAATTTATTTCAGGCACTTGTTTAATCAGACAAACATTAAGAATGAGAAGTGGGAAGGCAAAGCAAAGCGAGGCGGAGAAGGCAAGCGTGTCAACTCTCATTTTGATAAAGCATGACTCATTATTTATAGCCAGAGGAAATTAAGTTAGAGATGTGATGAATAGGGTAAGCGCCACTCACACACGTTCATGTTAAAACAGTAAAGGTTAATAAACGAATAATGGACAAAGTCAAAGTGTGAATTAAGAAGAATAAATATTTTGTTTTTCCCGAGGCAAGAATAACCCATGTGGACTTGACATAGTGCTAGACCCTGCAATCTCAATAAGATCACTGAATAGCTGTCTCACCTTAGTATGGGACTTATCATCAGCTAGAATCAGTACTTTTTCAAGGATCAAACCCAGTACTCCTTGGTCTCACTTGCTCAGTATCTGATGATTTATATTTCTAACTTTAACCAGTCTGTCATAATACAAAACCATCTTCCAATACCATTGGTGGGTAATTTTTTCATACCTGACATATTTGAACTTCACTGACCACAATGTGTTATTTGAAATATAGTCATTACTGCCGCCAAATAAGTCACATGTGGGCACATTGATTTCTATACAAAAAAATATATCTGTTTACGTAACTATACATACTTTCTAGTCCTTTGAATTTTAGGAACCATTAGAGATTTATGATATGGACTTCATGTTATTATGTTTATTCCCAATAATGTTTTTTTGTCATACGTTTTATGATGGATAATAGTGAAATCGAAGGCTCCCGTCTTATCATAATTAGAACTTGACATCTGGCTCTACTAGCCTCTCAGTGTTGATCGAAGCATTAACTATCTACTTATATCTTTGAACACTAATGTATTATCCATAGGACCGCTGAGTTTAGATGATAATTTGTTCAGCTGGAATAAATTATTTTGTAAGAATAAATCAGTTTCACATATGGTTCAATGGATCATTTGTTATTAATTATTCTATTTTCTGTTAATATTGATTTTTGGTGGTCGAAGACAATCGGAAGAAATTTCTGGACCTATGATTCCAGTTATTTAGGATTTTTTGCGTTAAGGTAACTGCAATCTTGAGATGGTGTATATTCCCTGTGGAATTCAAACTCGTACCACTCAATATAAAAGCTTAAAGTGTCACTTTCGTTTCGCTTTCGTGATTGATTGATTTAGTTCAGTTAGAACTTGAAATTAGTTACTTATATACATGAGAATGAAATAAAATATACCGATGCTTTTGACTTGGTTTTAACCAAGACAGATGTGACAAATGCATTAAATGAATCAAACTGAATATATGAAAGTATATTACGAAAAATGATTTCAAATTCCCTCTTGCTGTTTTTAACATTTCTTTGTTTATTCACATCTGATTGTAGGTAGTTAGTTAGTTATCATCTTGCTAATTTTTATCTGTTTTTCAACTCTAAAGGATCAGTGGATGAACGGCATTTGGCTTTACGAAAATCACATTCTTCCAAAAGTCTATTTCAACAGATCGCATGGAGAAGTTTAGATAATTCTAGACGACAAAAAAACATGGCAAGTGGAGATTATGCGGAACCACTTTGGGCAATTGTTTTAGATAAGAAAATGGAAAAAAATCATATACCGGTAAGTAAAATTATATATTTAATTTTCTATCAGACCACTTACTATGAGAAACTAAGATTTGCAAATTAATGGTTTTACAACTAAAACATTCAAAATGTAGATGAAGCGAGAGGAGAGACAGCATAATCTCTATCAGATAGTTAACACTTCTTTAGTAGGATATACTCACTTTAGGTGGTAGAAAATAATTGACATAAATTCTTGAGCTCAGTTTCCACGCTATTCAGTACCTGTCAGTAGAGTGTACTATCAACCTTGTAATACATATGCTGACGATTGGGTTTCGAAACTGAGTAGTCATCCAGTGTCGTAGTTTGAGATGTTACCATTGGTGTACTCGGGGTGTGATTAGGTTCTGTAGGACCAAGGTATTTACATTAATCGACACTGATTTAAAACTAATTTACTTTTTGCCTGATTCTTGAAGCTGACTTAATTCTACTGACTTCTTTGTGGCCGGGATTTAAATCCTACCACGAAACGACACTCCTAAGTTTAATGCTGACTTTCTTCAACCATCTATCATCAAACATGGTTCATATAACTTCAAACCACTTTATAAACTAAAAGGTAAATCTTAATTAGGGCTGCTGACATGATATTAACTCCGACTTAATGATCATTAACTGTACATGTATAACACTATTTTTATGCTTATGCAGCTGAATGGTAGTTAGTTTATAACTGTAGTTCTTAGTAGAGTCTGCTGTAACTCATCAAACGAACGGGACTCTGAAGTTGGTAATTTAATTTTCATTTTTAAAGCCTGCTGGCATTACAGAACAACATAATAATATTGCATGTAGAAAATAAAAGGAATACAGATTGGAATATTACCTATGAAATGTATGTTAATAACTTGTTGCCCCGTAATGTTCAGAAAGATAGATATGATTATTTGTATAAAAATGCAGTAATCAAACTAAATAATACTTTGTATTAACAGTAAAATTAGTGTTTCTAACCACGATTATGAAAGTGAGGCTAAAAACGTAACTTCCAAGGTGTACAGTTCATTAACACAGATTGATTCAATGCACGTATCATGGCATAAAAAATGACAACATTGAAATTCATTAGCATTAAAATATTTTTCTGAGTACTCGTATTAGATTGGAATATTTCGATTATCATAATTTTCTATGAACAACTGTTAATTCCTAAGTGGTGAAAAGTCTGTTTATAAAAGCACCATTTTATCATGCAATAAGTGACGAGATTTGTGCTTATATTATTAGTCTACTCATAAGTAGTTCAAATCAATAAATGAAAGAATCTAACCAACATAGGGGTTGTGACGGATCACTAAGTTCTTAATTGATATCGTGAACCGGTTGATGTTAGACCACCATTTAAAAAACCAGAAGCACTGGACGGCCGTTTCGTCCTATTGTGGAACTCCTCGGCAGTGCGCATCCACGATCCCGCCCTCGGGTTTCGGACCCAGGGCTTAAACTAATGGACAAGTGAGCCGGCGTCCAATGGAGTTAATGTCTGATCCCAACCAATCTACGAAATTGCGCGACCAACTTCTATTGTACTGAGGTAGATACCTATCCCTACCTGAAACGGATTAGCTCTACTGGTCACGGCTTCTCACTAGAACTCTGAGAATTCCCTCACGAAGCTGGTCATTAATTAATAATTTTTTCAGGTTAGCGTTAGTTTTCTATGGGATGGTGTCCCTAACCCTATGCCCAACCCTCCTCTTTTATCCGGGCTTGGGACCTGCGATAGTCTCCGGGGGGACTCCAGGCGGAGTTAGTCACTGGTGAGCACATGGTAATTATCAGTATAGGGCTTGTGGAGATCATCAAGTTTTTTTAATTGAAATCGTGAAACGATTGGATGCCGTCTTAGTGGTTTAGTAGGTTAGGCGTTAGCGCGCATGACTGAAGGCCCTGGGTTCGAATCTTGCAAGCAAGATCGTGGATGCGCACTGCTGAGGAGTCCCACAATGAGACGAAACGGCCTTCCAATCCTTTCAGGTTTTCAATGGTGGTCTAGCATCAATCGGTTCATGATCTCAATTAAAAGAATCAAATGTTCTCTTTTTGTTGTTACTAATTGAGTTCATGAGATGTTGTTTTAGAAATTTCTAGGGATTAATAATTGAAAGTAATTCGAAACGATATTGTCAAAGACTGACTTTATTTTAAATTCATGTTTCCGTAGTATTGTTTTGTATTGTTTATTTTTTGTTTGTTTTACATTGGACTCATTAACAGTATTAGTTTTTTAATGATTGTTCTATCATTCATTTATTTTGTATTTTTTTAAACTTAATCTAACTATGGATAATGTCAGTAGTTGAAGAGTGCAAAAATATCTAAACCATTTTATCCATAATAATCTTTGAATAAATCCTTACATTTTGTCACAAGTAAATGAAGTGATTAATTAGTGTTTTAATTCTGACATTTCAGGAAATAAAATTTTCTTCTTGACAATCATACTTCTTAAAACTATAAAACTGTGTCTATAATTTGTTTATATATTGGTTACTTGAAACTACCTATTGATGTTTAACATTTCGATAGATCAGTCTCTTTTTGGGATATGTACATTCAGCTGATAAGTTAAGAATAGGACGAAACAAACGTCCTAGATTCTATTGTTAACTACTACACATTTCTGCTTAAAATGTTTCTTTAATTATTTAATGGACTTAATGACCTGTTGAGAGGTGCGATAAAGTTGTTTAGTAGGGTGTTTGGGAATACCAAATATCAACGATAGTTTATTAAAGTTACAATTCAGCAAGGGTTTTTCATACAATTAATCTTTGGTTTTGTAGTTTCCAAATTCATCACTTGTAGTTGAACGACAAAAGATATGTCATCTTATTTTTCCATTTGGATGTATAGTTACTAATTTAGCTATTTTCTTGGATGAATTCGTATTGAGGGTATTGTACGACAACCTAGTCCACAAATTAGCCAAATTCTCTCGTATACTTTGAAGAGAGTCAGTTATTCTAACGAATATAGAAAAAGTGAAAAGTTTCAAATGTATAACATTTTTGTAAAATATATCAAACTACTCTAGTATCTCATAATCTGTCTTTTGGTAATTGCTGTATCCAAACATTCTGAGAAAGTTTGACACTAGTCAATGAACTCAACACAAAAATACAATTTAAAGTGTAGGTGCATCCACTCTTTGTGTTCTCCCTAATTCTAATCTTCTGAATTCTTCATGTCCCCTTTTTTCTCGTTCCAAATTTACTTCACTGGATTATACTCCTCAAATAACATCTTCAAACCTTATCTTTCCGATTACTGCTCATACTCTTACTACCTTTAGTACTATGGGATTTGAATGGACAACTGTATTTCTGTGCTAATGTGGTATGGGAACTCAAACTGATGTACGTACGTACGTACGAATTTCTACGTTGTTACTGACTGACTAATGTTGAATATAAGTGTCACGGGTTTGATCGCTGGTTTGGTCATGCGTGAACAATTATAAAGAATTCCATACCAGCATAATACAGTTGTGAAGTGTTCCCAATTTTTTAGTGGCACTTCAACTGAGGTTAAAGAGTAATGAGTACTGATTACAAAATTAAATCGATTTCGACAAAATTCTTTCATATAAATCATAACTGTTAGCTTACTGGTGAAAGACTTTAAAGTCCCGCGGCTAATGACGTTCAGACATGTTGGGAGTGAAATAGTTGTTCCTAATGGCTCTGTATGACAAATTATTTAAAGTTGGAACTGTACCATTCAACACAGACGCAGTTGTCCTATCGGTTAAGCACTCGCCACAAGATCTGAACTTTCCGGATTCGGGCCCTAATAGGGTCCAAATGATAATTGCTGGGGAGTATAGTACTAAGACGAAACATCTGTTAAGAGCCCCCTGATTAATAATGGTTTCTCAATTGAAATCAATCTCTGACGAACACAGTCTACGTAACACTATCTAATATTTTAAAACGTCTTATTCAAGAGTCATGAACCTCAATATATTCACCAAGACACTGTTTAATAAGTGTAAATACAATCATACAGCTTAAATAAATGAAAATTATCTACAATGCATTGCCTTAATAACAATCAGTAAAGAAAAGAATTACGGTCTAAATTTACTTAACATATCAATGCAGAATATAATTATCGTCTATATATATATATATATATTTCTAACTCCAATTTATAGATGTTGGTCAATCCTCTTCCAATAGAATCGGTGTTTAACTGTTTCATCCTTAACACAACTGAAATGTACTGATCACGAATTCTCACTAACACTGTGCGAATTGTCACTCCAAATTAGTTACTGATAATCTTATAATTGCTGTTATTAGTGTAAAGGTTTTGTGGAAATTGATGAAACTCAGCTTACATTACGAGCTGACTTCAGTTCAGTGATTTTTTAACTCAGACCATTTTATGGTATTTTTATGTCTTGAGACGTTCATCGATCTAGCATGGTCAATTCACTAACTAGAGTTCTAACTGCAATTTTTTTCTATTTCGCGCCTACTATTTCTTTTATCGCCTGACGTCCTAGACCTGACCAGTTACACGTCTGATCTGGACAGGCCATTTTGAGCCGACTAAAGCTAAGCTCTTATTAGCCTCCCATCCACAAGGTTTTTTTTATTACTTACTTTAAGTTCAAAGAGAACTCAGAAGTTAGCTTCTCCTAGGCTCAGCTCAATAATGAAACTGAATTCGTATATATTGATACATAGAGTGGAGTCTTAGCTGTACATCAACATGAGTAAGAAACTACAATAATGGCAAAACTACGCGATAAATAAAAGAGAACTGAGCAGTAGGTTTGTAACAAATTAAAAGTAACTTGATTTTGGTGGAGTTTTGTTCTCTGAGATCCACCAAAATCATCCACCAGAGCTACAAAACTTCTCCACCATCCACCATCTTGAAAGTAACTTGGCAAAAGTACAACATACAATAACAGTTTACACATCATTACCAAGTTTACAAGAAGGACAATGCAAGCATACACTCATTTATTTCATT